ATATTAGATAGGTTGTTGGTTTGTTGTATGAAGTTGTATATTCGTTCCATATTTGTTGCTTGTTTGTGTATGCTTATATGTCTTCGTGCCTTGTTTATGTGTATTAGTGCCTTGTGTAATTTGGTGGCTGTAGGTGAGAATAGAGCATTTACGAAATCTGTGCTTAGTTATGCATAATGTAGATCTTGTGTTACATTGTGTACTACCATTACATTAAATCTCCGCACAAATATATTTTTTACATGATATTCAATATCGATGTTTTTTACAAAGTGGCAAAGTTCAAATTTCTTAAAAAGATTATAGAAATAAATTAACCAATTCACTAAATAAAATCATAAGTTTAACTCTGTGTTAGCAATTTTACCGACCAAAAGAAATTTTGCCCGGCCAGAAAATGGCCAATTTGGCCAAGTTCATAAATATATATTTTTTTAGTTAAAAAGGCAAAACAAATTGACTTGGCCGGTAAAATTGCCACACTAAATTTAATGGTAATAAAGATCTTAAATCGTAAGTGATACTAACCACTTAAACCAATTTAAAAAATTTTTTTGATGTTTTGCTAAATTAATGATAAAAAAAACAATATGGTCAATTGGTTAGGATCGCTACATATTACGTATAAAATATACATTATTTTAGCTGTTTATGCGCTGAAGGTGTACGTAGATGTATATTTTGTACTAATTAGTGCTAATTTTCTCAAAATGACAAGGATTATCATAATAATATCAAATACCGGATCTCTTATTAATGTAACAAGCTATGTATGTTTCTTCAAACATCACTACGTATAAGACTTATCATTATATAGTAATTCACAATAAAATCTTAAATTAGATTACATCTTGTGTGCAATTACAATAGAACAAGTAATTTTTTTTATTATAATAAAGTCAGCATTAATATTTAGCTTTAATATAAAATGAAACAAATAGCAACTAATTAAAACTAATTAGCTCTATTTTTCACAATATTTTGTGCTAAATTATGGGGTTTTCGGGCTTCTTTTCTTTTTTTCTTGGTTGCATTTCATACGGATCTTTGTTCTCTTTACCTAATAGTCGTTTTCCCAAAGCCTGTTTTTTTGTAGTTCGTTTTCTTCTTTGTACGGATGTTACTTGAACAGGTATCTTTTTTCCACTCCGAATCATTGTGGAGCTATCTGCATGCTGGTAAACAAATGAAACCAGCTTATTTTCTGAGAGATTTTTTGCATTATGATATCCTCTTTGAAACTTCTCAAAAGCTAAAAGTAGTTGAGCGTTCTGCTTGATGTCACTTTCCACCTCATGAAAGAATTTAACTAGAGATTCAGTACGGTCAGACTCTTCTCTACCATTAGTAATTGACTCTTCATCGTCATTAGCATTTGACTCTTCATTGCCATTAGCATTTGACTCTTCATTGCTATTAGCATTTGACTCTTTATTGCCATTAGCATTTGACTCTTCATTGCCATTAGCATTTGACTCTTCATCGCCATTAGCATTTGACTCTTCATCGCCATTAGCATTTGACTCTTTATCGCCATTAGCATTTGACTCTTCATCACCATTAACGCTTTTTGTAAAACTTTAAATGAAAACATAACTAAATTAGCGAAAATCAGTGTTTTATAATAATTCAATATGTTATACATACGTAGTTTTTTTTACTTATAGCGACTTCAGCATTTGATACAAATTCTAATAATATTGTAGATTCTTGAATTTCTGTCTGGTTGATAGTGTTATCTTTAGATACTGTATAGACTTGGCGATGTAAAGAAGCATAGAATGATCTTTCTCAAACTACTGAGCCTAATACGGTATTAAGATATAAATTAATATGATATTAAATACAATGCATATATTAATATTTAAATAAATATATATAATATGATGATACTTACCAGTTGCAATATAAAAATAATCCATTCGATCATTAATTGTAAATGTATCAATAAAATTAAACGTTCCTTCCTGAAATTTTATAGCAATAGCAGCTTGATGTTTGCACGGGGCACCTGAAATACCGGAAAAACATGAACAAATCCCAATAGTTGGGTCAACTATATATGTCGTTTCAACTTTTGTAGCACTAGGTACATCAAATGTAATACCATCTTCTCGACGCTGAATGCCTTCAAAATTTAGACCCTCTTGTCTATAACTTAAAACTCTTTTAGTAATATACATTCTTCCAGGCTGCTGATTCGAGATAGCTAAAAGACGACGTTCATAAAAGTGCTCTAAATTATTGGTGATAAAATGAAAGATCTGTACTATATTATAGGCCTGCGTCCTTCTAAAGACTATGTCCTTCAATAATCCAAAACTCTTTTTTACATAGTTGTTGGTATTATTCCCATGAGTTGGTAAACCAATGCAGAAAAAAAGAGCCCATTCTTGCCGACGATTCCAAGAGTGAATAATGTAAGTAGCAAGGTTTGGATATTTCATAAAATATTGTTGTTTCAAATTTTCAAAAGAAAATACTAATTCAGCCTCTGTCGATGCATATACCATAGATTTCATATGCTTCATTATTAATAGCCGATCATCTTTATGAATATGATTATTAGCATTCCACAACCATCGTCAAAAAGCTTGAAGTATATGAAAAATACAAAGAAGAGTTTTTGTATTATTCTAACAATGCCTAAGTGCATTTTGTTCTGCAGCAGAATCATCCGTAATTATTATGCATGGTCCTATTTCTGGTTCTCTATTATAAAATGCTTTAATAGGCAAAATCGTTTTTAAAAGATTAAATGCGAACTTTAATGTATTTTCTGACTCATCTGATGTTAGAATAACTCCTAAAGGTAATGCCCCTACAGCACAACTTGTATATAACAGAGTCATAGAGATATTTAATGGATCGAAAGACGATGACGCATCTACGTAGCATATTTCTCCTGCTTGACGAACTTTTTCATGAATTCTTTGCATTAAATTACTAACGATACATAAAACAAATGATTGCCCTTTTTTTTTGTCAAATGTTCAAAAATAGCTTTCCCATATCCTAATTTATTATAATTTTCAACTTCACTTTCAAGACGTTCAAACATATTAATCCCATTTCGTGCTCCAAGTTGAGACATGCGAAACTTTTTATAGAGATTTGTAATATATCCAATATCAGGATTTACTGCATGATCAGCCAAAATAGTTGCTAAATTTTCTTCGTTATCAGCTGATAAATGTAGTTTTTCCTTATATTCATAACGGGCGGTTGGTGGCGTATGCCCACACTGAAATAGTCGTAAATACTCCTCTTCTGTTAGTAAATTAACAGAACGAAAGCTCAATGATATAGCCGAATTAGGCACATGGTTGTGCACGAAACAAAGTGATACTTCAAGAGGGTGAGATTTTGCTAAATTACGTTTTTCTATACGAAATCCAATTGTTGCCAAGCAATCTGTATCCCTTAAACGTCTACTATGTAACCTTTTAGTTTCAACACTCTTTTCTTGTTTCTTTTTAACTATATGACTGTGCATGCAGTGTCTTGTCTCACGAAAGATGACCCGTTTACCTTTGAGAATGTGACCCCTTGTTTGACGCATCGTGGTCTTTGTTTTTTCCTGAAAATCCTCTAACCAAATATGTGCATCTTCAGCAGAATTGATATTTACAAAAAATGAAGCAACTATTTGATCTATTTTAATGTTTTCTTCAGTAATTAATGGATCCATTTCATGCAAATCATTCATTATATATGAATAGTTGGTAGGTAAAATCTCTGCTATTTTTCCCGTAAGTAAAGAACTTAAAATGGGCTACAATTTTAGATTCGTAACAATTAGTAATCGTGTTATAATATAAAATTTCTAAATTATGTGTATATTTTATACGTATTAACCTCTTTTGCATTAGTATCAAAATTAAAATGCAAATAGTCATTTTCTAGAGACGAAGCAAGGTTTTCCATTTTTTATTGAAAGTTTAGTAGTTAAAAATAATGATATTGCATATTATTAAAATTAAACTAATACGAAGAATGTATTGTATCAGTTTTTTACTTAAGCTACAAGAATAACCTCTACGTATTTAAGCTACAAGAAATAATTTCTATTTTGAGATTTATTTGTTTGTTAACTGCATTACGTAATTTTATATTGCTCCTTGATTGTTAATTTTAATTAATATTTGAAACATTGCATCATCGATGGTTACACACCAAAATATTAATATTACGCACTTTAACTTTGTACTGTAAATTAATTTTTTAATATATACTTTATAAAGTCAATAATTTTGCAACGACTTTATATAATTGAACACAATGATTTCTTTAACGTAACCTTTGAGCATTGTCAAGAGAAAACTGAAATCAGAACTTAATATTTTATATGATTTAATTCCTGCTCTTGTAAGAATATTGGTTCAAACTTAACTGTTAATATGTGCGAAATTATTCGATTTGGTAATTAAAATTTTAATCTCATCATTTATATAATATTACATAATTATTGAAAAATTAAACTATACCGTTTGTATTTTATTCTAATTTTTTATTTACATAGAATGCGGAAATATCTTATGAGTTGTCTATAAAACCGTTTTATGAATTATTATTGATATAGTATCGCTGCTCAATATTTTATTATTGTTTGAAGTGTAGATATCATTGCTTAAAGTATAGAACAAACAACCCTAGCATCGCCCATAAAAAAATGTCGCTGACGTCACTTGAAAATGATCACGATGATAAATCACATTACTTATCATTATTCTTACCATTATTAATAATGAGTATATACATACTCATTATTAATAAATAATGATAAGAATAATGATAAGTAATGTGATTTATCATCGTGATCATTTTCAAGTGACGTCAGAGACATTTTTATGGGCGATGCTAGGGTTGTTGTATAGAACATTGCACGTCTGAAATCTGTGACAGGTTATGTCGATCATTGCTTGTTGTAGCCAATAATATCACAAGATCATGTGTAACTTAAAAAATCCGAAAAACAGAAAAATCGTAAATAACTCAAGATTTTACTATGATAACCACAGTTTGACTTCTAAATACAAGTTTTCAGCACGAAATTTTAGTTATAGAAGTACATTTAAATATCGAATATCAAGTAAATTAAAGACTGTGCTTAATTCTAATCTGCACGCTCTTTCGATTTGGTGATCGACATAACCTGTCACAGATTTCAGACGTGCAATTTCTCTTACCTATAGCGTCATTTTGTTATATTTTGATATTCCGATATGAATATCGTATCTTGCTATATTTGCCCGATTTATCTTTACTAATATCGGATCCATATTGGGATCCCGATATGGATCCGATATTTCCACGGCTATACATATCCCGATATGTCTTCATTCGACCTGTGTAAATAGATAATTAAAAAAGATTTTACGTTAAAATTTTGTAGCCGTTAGGATCCTTTTCAGAAATAAGTATATTTTTTTACTTAATTTAGAATAAATAAGCAAAATTTTCAAAAGAAAATACGTAACATTCGATTCTATTTTTAGACTGGTCTGAACTGGTTTTAGGACTGGGGACCAGTTAACTGTTGGACTGGCAAAAAAAACTGATCCTTATTCGGTCTTTCCGGGACTGATCCATCCCTAGTCTGGCTGTATTTGTAGAATCAAAATAAATTTTTTAGAACATTTTAAGATATTTTTATTTAAAATTTAAAAAGCTTAATTACAGTATATAGGGCACATATTAAAAATATGGATTAAATTTAAATATATTGCAGGTCTATCAAAATTGTAACTACAAATCTATCAAAATTGATGCTTTTGTAACTTTAATTAACCTTTGCCAAAGTCTGTGCCATGTAATATATTTGAAGATATATGTTAAGTAACTTTTATATAAATAAAAATAGATTTTAACTTTAAATAAAGCTTTTGAAAAGTCTTTCAACTTTCAGTAAAACTTTCAACCTTCAGTAAAATTTTCAACTTTTTGCAAAACTTTTGACATTTGAATATTTTGATAAATAAAATCGGTTCTGAAAGTATTTTCAGTAAACTTTTAATATTAGCATGAATATTAGTGTGAATATTAGCATGAATATTAGCATGAATATTAGCATGAATATTAGCATGTAAATATTAGCATGAATATTTGTATAAATATTAGCATGAATATTAGTAAATTTGTATTAAAAAAGTTTTATTTTTATGCACTAATAAGGTCAATTTACCAATGGTTATTGACAGTTCTCTTACAATTTGACATTCAAATTGGGATCTGCAAAGGAACGATTGGTAGAATTAACTAGAGGTTCGTCAAAGCCAAGTGCGTTTAATATTTTAATATATACATATTGTATAATATTATACAGTATTCTTGATATCTATATAAACCACTAACCCTAGCTGCATCAAAAAAATAGCTTTAACTGCAATTCTAACGCACCTGGATTTAACGCTCCCAAATAAGAATTTTGTATTACTCGCGAAAATAAGAGCGTGTGCATTACTACATATTTTACTCAACTAATGTGGACTTTTTCAGTAAATAGATAATCGAGTTTATTTGGTTCGGACTGATCCATGTTAATTGCTATATAGGGGATCTCGTCTCCCAAAAATAAATTTTTTAAGATATCTCAATTTTTTATTTTTTAGGCAGTATCTGCCCTTTCTGCTGCAAAGGCCCCATGTGATCTACCAATCACGAGGAAATCAACCAATAGATCGACAAGATGATGTCGTAATTATCCGATTGGCAGGTTATAAATATAGAAGTTACACCAGAATTACGAATGCAATGCTCTTTTATATTCATCAAACCTTCTGCTTCCAGAATCAAAAAGCTTGATTTATTCTTAAAAAAGCAATGCAAATTAAAGATAAGGTTGCAATTATAACAGGTGGTTCGAATGGATTTGGTGCTGCCTTATCTCGACTATTTGTTCGTGAAGGGTTCGTTGAATAGATTAAACGTTTTCGTTTCGCATAATTCCATTTTAAAAAATATATATATTGTTAATTAATATAGTGCTCGAGTAATTATTGGTGACATTGACAGAAAGGCAGGACAAGAGCTCGTAACTGAGTTGAATAAAAAGTATTTTAATTTAGAACTTTTTGTTCGTTCTTACCAGATCCGGATAATATATCATTTTCATTTTACACAAACTAGTAATAAAGTCAACGCAATCTTTATCTTTTGTGATGTAACAAATTTTGATAATTTACGTCAATTGTTTGATACTGCGCAGAATAAGTTTGGTGGTGTTGATGTAAGTTCTTTTGTTAATTGATGAATAAATGAACGATTAATTAATAATTTTTCTTTTTGTTATCCCTAAAGATTGTATGTAATAACGCAGGAATTGCACTAGACAATGAATTTTTTGACCAAACTAGTTAAGTAAAAATTAATTATTATTATGAATTGTTTTATACATGAAATTTTACTTAAATATTTAAAATATTAGATATCTGGATAAAGTCTATTGATGTTAATTTAAATGCAGTAATCAAAGGTACACAGCTAGGAATTGAATTTATGAAAAAACGTGGTGGAGGTGTTATCATAAACACAGGTTGGTTCAAACAAAAAAAATTCAAAAACATTTATAATGTAATTTATAAATTTTTACGATTAATTTTTGTAGCTTCGATGTCCGCATTTTACCCAATGCCCTTTGCGCCAATATATAGCACCGCAAAACGTGCCGTATGTTTATAATCTTTTGAATCATAAAAGGCTGTAATCTAATTATGATGGCATTGATTGATCTTTTGATTTAATATCATACATTAATATCATTTATAGGTCGTTGGATTTACAGAAGCGCTACGAAATCTAAAAAATACCGATAATATTCGTGTAAATGCTGTTGCACCGTCATTTGTTGGTACGTTAAAAAAAGCTGTTATCACTATAATTTATTATCAACTTTAAAATATAGATTTAATCATTATTAATCATTAGAAACAAATATTACGCAAAAACTTCTCGAATCAGAGGAACATAGCAAAGTAGTTAAGAGATTTGGTTTGATTCCTATTGATGATGTTATTGATGCATTTGTAAGGATTGTTCAAGATGATAACCTTGCGGGTGTTACTATCGCGATTACACCAAGATATAAATCAAAAATTATATCAAAGTCATCCTTGTAGATTTAGGACTTAGTGATTTAATCTATTTGTTACATGTAAAACTCATCGTTTGCTAAGTAAATTGGTTGTTATTTGTTAACTTAATCATATTAATTAATGTCTACAGGGTTTACATCGTTTGTCAGATTTACTGAATTTACTGTTCGTAATTTAGTGGAACGATTACTTTTGTAATATAAAACATTCTACATATCATTATCTATTCGCATGATATGAGCATACAAAGTGAGTCATGCGAAGCATGAACTTGATTAGACAAGATTTTCGTATTATTAGTATTGAAACAACTTCTACATTCCCCTGAAATATTCACCTACTTTACTCATTTTACATTACTCAATTACTGACTATTTAACAAAAATAATAAATAATATAAATAGCATTAATGGCTGGAGCTGAGCGAAGCGAAGTGAAAGCCTTTCAACTCATACTCTACGGAATTTTCGAAACTGTCCGGTTCCCGGTTCAACTGATCCAAATTGTAGATTGTAGGTTACGTGAACCTAAATTAGGCTCGATGTTTGGATACCGAAATCTTGGTTTGAAATAAAATAGCTGACTTTTAACTGTATATTAAATGACTTTATTAGAAAATAAGAATTGCCCTGCATCAAACGAGTTTGGTTTATTGCGGTTTGCAAAATTATGTGAAATTTGAAGATCATTAAAAAAAAAAGTAATCACGATTTCTGATTACATTTCTTCAACATTTTTTTTGACTTTTAGATTAGACAAAATTTGTGCAGTTATTATTTTGTAAAAATTTTATTATTTTTATGGAAATAAAAGTTGCATATTCATCATTTTGTA